GAACCTCTTTATCCCATTAAAAAAATAAATAAGGAGAGACCAATACCCTTTTCTTCCCTTCCCTTCGAGTCCTCTCTCTCGATCCAGACCACCATACCTTCGCCTCCCACACACAACCCTCTGCCATGGAGGGGCCAAGGCGTCCTCGCCACCAAAAGGCCCCTCGGGGACCTCAGGAAGGCCAAGCCCAGAGGCTACACAGGAGTCTTGGCAGCCGGAGCTGGCTCCCCAGCAACCAAGAGCCCTGTGGGACCTTAAAGGCGACCACGTTTTTAGTGGGCAGTCCACAAAAACCAAGGTTCCCCCCTGAGGCTTGCATGGAGCCAACCCCACAGAAGCCCCATGGGGCTGGGCCCCACAGAGGGACCCCCCACCTTCCCCCCCCCAGTTCCCCGCCTTGCTTTTCACCTGGCCTCCGAGGACGGGAAGGCGTTCAAGGCCGCTTTGTCGTAGCGCTCCATGGCCGCCGCCGCCTCCAACCCAGACCTTCCTCAAGCGAGAAGCGGCGCGCCGCACTTCTTCCGGTCAGCTGACTTCGTCCCTACCCGGCCTCCGTCGGGGCCACCCGTCACGTGATCCGGTGGAAAAGGCAGATCAATGCGTTAAGCGGGCGGAGGAGGAGAGCGGAGTCTTTGGAAATCCCTAGAGCGTCTTCCCCAGCGGACGGCGGAAGGGCCCGGCCATAAAGACAGAAAAACAGAGCGGCCTTGCTTAATAACGGATTCAGCCGCAAGGGGCGTGTGTGTGGGTGTGAAGTCGGCCATCTTTAAAGAGGGAAACGGACTTCACTCTTGGAAGCTGCCAGTTTTCTTTTATTTCAAATGTATGGGAGTTATTCTTATTTTTAATAAACGGGTGAAGCCGTCATTTTTCATCAAACCTTTCTAGGTGTCCACAGCTTGCAATCTGAAGATTATTTTAAAGTTCTGATCTAATTTATTTTCTCTCCAAATGCAACCTCTTTTAGATAATATTATATTAATTGATTCAGCCTTACCCATCCTGCATTTCAAAGCTGAGCGGTTTCCAAAACAAGCATCTAAAATAATAAATCGGAGGTGGAAGTTAAAAGTACATAAATCTCTTAACATTTAAGATTAAAAACTATTGCAGCAGTTAAACGATGAAGCTACCAATTAGAAGAAATACACACATTTCTCTTTGCCAACATTATCTTTCAAATAAAAGAGTATCCTTTGTAGATGGATGAATGACATGCCACCCTTGATTTATGGTAACTTGAAAAAGGAGATTTGGCTTGTGACCCTAAACACATTTATTAGAAAATAACCACATAGTCAAAGCTATGGTTTTTCCAGTAGCGATGTATGGAAGTGAGAGCTGGACCATAAAGAAGGCTGACTGCTGAAGAATTGATGCTTTTGAATTGTGGTGCAGGAGGAGGCTCTTGAGAGTCCCCTGGACTGCAAGGAGAACAAACCTATCCATTCTGAAGGAAATCAACACTGAATGGTCACTGGAAAGACAGATCCTGAAGCTGAGGCTCCAATACTTTGGCCATCTCATGAGAAGAGAGGACTCCATGGAAAAGACCCTGATGTGAGTGTGACGGCAAGAGGAGAAGGGGACAACCGAGGACGAGATGGATGGACAGTGTCACTGAAGCGACCAACATGAATTTGACCAAACTCTGGGAGGCAGTGGAAGACAGGAGGGCCTGGCGTGCTCCGGTCCACGGGGTCATGAAGAGTCGGACACGACTTAATGACTAAACAACAACAAAACCTGAAGTAAGGATGAAACTATTGCTTGGTGATATGGTAGTTCTTGGAGAGGTCTGGCCTGGCCACATTGACACATGCCTTAGTTCCGTCCCTGCTGGACTACAGTATTTATTTTATTTATTTATTTATTTTATTTATATCCCGCCTATCTAGTCAACTCAGGACTACGCTAGGAATATGCTCTACATGGGGCCGCCTTTGCAAAATATTCAGAAACCTCAGCATATCCCAGCTAGATTGCTAACTTGAGCTGGTTACAGGGATCACATAACTCCTCCAAAATATTCAGAAGCCTCAGCATATCCCAAACTCTGCAGCTAGATTGCTAACTGGAGCTGGTTACAGGGATCACATAACTCCTCTTGTTATGATGAGAGCTCCAATAGCTGATGATCTGTTTCTGGGCACAATTTAAAGTGCTAGTTTTTTAATCTGTAAACAGCATGGGTTCAAGCTTTATAGACCTGCCTGAATGTTTTCACTGGAGGAGGGCTGGTTACAGGGATCACATAACTCCTCTTGTTATGACGAGAACGCCAATAGCTGATGATCTGTTTCTGGGCACAATTCAAAGTGCTAGTTTTTTAATCTGTAAAGGCCTCAACAGCATGGGCTCAAGCTCTCTCAAAAACCCTATCTCTCTTTATGGACCTGCCTGAATGTTTTCACTGGAGGAGGCCTTTTTCTCTGTCCCACCATCCTCACAGATACGCTTGGTTGGGGCATGGGAGAGGGCCCTCTCTGTGGCTGCTTTGGAACTCCCTCCCACCAGAGGCCACACTGGCCCCATCTTTGCTGTCTTTCTGCAAGCAGAAAAAAGGCCTTTCTCTTCGGGCAGGCTTTTCCTTAATGACTGACTGGGATGGTTTTTATGTTGTTACTTCTAAGTCTCTTTTAGTAATGCTTTTACCTAATAGTTTTAATATATCAATTTGTTTTTAAATATGAAATGGATGCTTGTGGGCTTCCTGCAGCTCCACGTACAGTATTTCCCCAAATCATTTCTGGAGAGCCAGGTTTTGAGGCCAGAGAAGGAAGGCAAGTTCAGTTCTGCCAGTGTGATGTTGTGTGTCAGTCTTAAAACTATTAGACGGAGGGGAAAGTTTCCTTAGATAAAGATGCTTAGGGCTATACCGATTTCTGAATAAAGATGCTTAGGGTTGCAATGCTATTGTGGCAGAAGCTTTTGTAAACTTATCCTCAGCAGACATTACATGCACATTAGCTGTGGGATGTGTGAAAGGGGGAGGAGGAGCCCAAAGCCCATAAAACCCAAGCCGTACAGGCTGTGACATTTCTTTGCAAATGTTTGTGACATTTTAAGAGGCACTCTTGCCAGCAGGGGCTTTCTTCTGTTTTGGTTTTGGGCCAAACCAGTGTTGCCTTTTGACATAATAGTTCATTTGTAATCAGGATCAGAGCATCATCTTATACAATAATTACATTTCATAATAATGTGACCTTTTAATAAAAAAACATTGCCAGAAGAGTAGAAATAAGTGACTGATGTCCTTGTCTCTATTGGCTTGCATCGTTCCTGAAGCAAATTCTGCTGATGTAGAACAGTATTTTGCTGTTTACCTAAAGTGCATCAATATATACTAATGGGATAGCATCTATTTATTCAGCAGGTCACTCTTGGTCTCAAGACTCAGCATGAGAACATATTGGCTGCTGTCAAAGGCGTATAGGATAGTGACCTGCAGCAGCTCATAGAGCAAATCCTACTCATGTTTCCGAGCAGTCGATAATGGGAAGTATATGGAGGGTTATCTGTAACCATATAGTGTTGTCAAGTGAGCAGCATCCATTTTCTGGAGATTTCAGGAGGATCAGTAGGACTTTGTAATGTCACAAGGGCAGGTCCTTGCAGCTTCATCAAGGTGAGGCAGGCATGGTTTGGGAAGGAAATTGGAGCTGCTTCTGAACCACTTGACTTTGGGAGCAGGCATAAAGAAAATCTGGATAAATCCGGGTAAAATAGTCCCGGAATCAGGGTAAATCCAATGAACTCGGCATTATGGCAATCCAAAAGCGAGAAAACAAATCAAAACCACGGCCAGTGTCCTGTTTGTGCAGGCATCCTTTAAAGACAGGCTGGCATCATGCCCGGCGGCAAAGAATTGTGTTACGAAATTGCACAAGGGGTCACCATCCTGGCACAACCGATGTTCAACGTGCCGGTGGAAATGCTTTGGTGACAGCACTTCTGCCTCTGCCATAGTGCAACCACTGTGTGTGCAACCTCACATTGTGTACATGTTGCTGAGCAACAGGATTTGGGTCCTTCCCTCCCCCCTGCAGCTGACATAAAGAGAGATTTTCAAAGCCTTTTGCTGATGCTGGGGTTTGTGGAAAGTTCAACACCAGCCTACAGGGACTGGCACCGTGTGGGAATGGGTAGCCATAGGTTCTCACTGCAGTGTGACACACAAGCCATCTGGCTTTCTCCGTCTCCAGGACCATTTGCCCTGAGGTATGTCTCCCTTCCTGGAGACCTGGAGGAGCGTAGCAAGACCCTGAGGCTTTTATCCATCCTGATTTGCTCACCATGTTGTTTCACTGGATGTCCTGGATTCAAGTATACCAAGATACAAACGTCTCCCAGGCACTTTCTCTGCCATAACATAGACATCTCTGTCGTGTCTCCTTTCTTGTTGCTGGGTGCCTTTCAACAGCCACCAAACTATTGTAGGTGGACAACAGCCACAAAATTATAAGCTGCCATTGTTTCAAAGGGTGAGAAATGTAGAATTGCTGGATAGCTCCGTGGTTGAGGCATCTGGTTGCAAAGCCAGAGGTTGGGAGTTCGATTCTCCACTGCCCCTCCTTGACGGGGGCTGGACTTGATGATCCCTTAGGGTCCCTTCCACCTCTACTGTTCTATGATCATGATGATAATTATGTTCAATGAGGGGTTGACCACTGTTACCACCCTGCCTCCCCAGTGACTTTCCGTGGACTTTTAGGAATTTGAACCCAGGTCTCTTGAGTCCTTATTTGACACACCATCTACCTACTCTGCACTGGCTCTGGGGGAAGGGGGAACACATCTCTTTTTCCTAGTATTCCCCCCTCTCGTCTACCACTTAAAAAGCTCAGCATCCTCACAGTCCACAATCACAAGTTTCAGTCTGCTATATTCATTTGTGCTGCAATGGCTGCCTGTACTGAGCGTGAGAAAATTCACCAGAGAAAGGGAACCTACAGAAAAAGGAGCCCTGTAGGGCAGGCTCCCTGCTTTAGGCCACAAAAAAGAAATGCAAGACTAGTTTTTTTTTTAAAAAAATAAAAATAAAAATACCTGCAAGGTCATTAAGATGTGCTTCCCGAAAGGGCAGAGACCTAGTTGCTTTATTAACCCCATTTTGGCAGCAGGAAATCCTCAAACCTCTTTTGCTGTTGTTTTCAAAATAATAAAAATACTCTGTTACCCAACAGTAGGGTTGCCAGAGCTACTGCTCAGCCTGTGGTCCAGGGGCTGCTAACTCTGGATGGTCAACTTTCAGGTCCCTGATCTCTCTCCTTGTGGTTCTTTATATCAGATTTGAACTGGACAACTTTTCAAACGGGGGAGGCCGTCGGAGAAAGAGGGCTGTCATCGCTTGGCTCTTCAAACAGAGGACCGTCATCCGTAAGAGAGGGAAGCAAGACCAACCAACCTGCTGGTGCAGTTTGGGAAGGTTTTAGAGTTTGGAAAGACTATGATTTTGGATGGCCACTTCCAAAATTCTTTCCCTCCTTCTTGTCAGTGGCTGGGGGGGCTGTGCTATAAGGGGAGGCCTTTCTCTCACTCCCCCCACTGTCAAAAGT